ATCACTTTGTTATTCGTGGTATTTGGAGATATAGGCTTTCTGTTTGTCCTCACTTTGCAGAAGTCTTCAGCCTTCAAATATTTATCTCTTGTCACATGGCAGTGAATATACATACACATCAGAAAGCTGCCATCTTCAAATTATTCCAGAAGACAACTCAATTTTCCCAGCAAGACTCAATATTCTCAAGATTGTGTTGGGTAAAGATACTAATATACATTGGAACAATTTAGACATCTCTTCTACATTGCTGGACCCTGACAGGGGAAATCTGGCTTTACTTTAGCAGTCAAGGTTCTTCCAGTACTACTCAGCTTCATTCAAAGCCTGATCTGTTCATTCCCTCATTTCAGGAGAAGATAATGTGTCCTCCAACTTCAGTTTCACCTTGCAAGATACCTAAAATAACAGGTGAGTTACAAAACTCTTATGACATAAAAGGAGCTTCAAGCTCGCAGGCCATTCTTGAGGCCCTTTTGCCTTTGACAGGACTGCCTGTGAATCCTCCTGTACCCACGTGAGAACAAAAGCGGAAGTTTGATTAGCTCAGTTCCACCTGTGCACAGACACATCGAGCTGTACCATGAGCATCTTCATTTCAGTACTAACTTGACGGACCTTGCAAACAGGAAGGCATTTCTTGTATATTTGACCATGTTCTTCCCAGCGGCATCAGCATTGGTAGCAGTGGCTAAATCACTGCTGCATTATCATCTGTGTTGGCAAAGCTTGCAGTTTCTTCTGTATCAACACCATCTCTCATACTATAAAGAAAACGATGGCATCACTTTTTTTCTAGAGCCCTTGTGTCCATGATGACACTGTCTTAAATACCTTCCAAGGCACTCTACCTTAAAGCAACATATAGCCCTCTTTTCTTCACTTTTAATGCTGTTTCTTCTGTGCTGATGGAGTATTAATTCACGCAGCTTGATTTAAAATCCAGCAGAGGCACTTCACTGGGTCCATCGAGGAGGTTCAGGTTATCACCTCTGAAGTTGTTCAAACTATCGTGGCCACCAGAGCACCTATGAACAAATGCACTGAACACAGTACTTGCCAAGGTTATAAACAGCTCTGCTTAAACCCTGCATCAGACTTACTACTTTTTGAAACAAGTAACAAAGGATTGGGACAAAACACTCTCTAAAGAGAAGACAAAAGGGAGTATTTGAAGAAAACTTGTCAGTATATTGTACATTTTATGGAGTGCATTGGTTGGCTGAATAGACAGATTTCACTATCTGTATTGACTAGATTCCAATTGTCTATAAAGGGAGCTTAGATACCTAGCTTATGATAGATATAGGCATTGTAGGTATTTTCAATTAGATGGCTAAAGCTGAAAATGTCTCTCATATTCCATGCCCACTTTTAACAGTAATTAATCACCAACTAAATGGATTCTCCATCTTGGGAAATGTTTAGCTCGAGGCTAGATTTTTCTCCCTAAAAGATATAGGTTTAATCACAGCTATATGAACTAAAATTAATTCAAGGAAGTTTTGTACTTTAAATTAGGTACAAAGTCAGACCAAGATGATCACAGTGCATCTTTGTGGCCTTGAAATCTTCAAAAATTGTTTTCTGCTGAGGATTTATGTATCTAGCACAAAAAAAAAAATGTAGGCTACGTCCACAGAATATAGACATAGGAATGCTTAATGTTAGAGCACCTGATATTTGTTAGTACTGGAGGCCAAATCTGTTTTCTCCTGAGGCTATGGAACTAACCTCTCCCTGTCATCCTTTTCTGGAATTCTTAGTTATTCTTAGAAGAGTGGAACAGCTTCAGCAAAAAAAAGGAAGGATGGAGAACCTCCTTACCTCTGTGAAACAAATTAATACCACATATTAGGAACATTCAGAGAACTTTACTAGTGTCATTTAGTTAGGGACTTTGGTTGCCATTAATGGTGGGTGACAACAGATCAGAAGTTTTGAGGATACAAATTCTGGAGCTCCAGTGCTCCAAAACGGAGCAGTGGTTATTTAGTCATATTCAGGAACAAATTTAACTGAGCACTTTCAGTGCCATCCTTCTGGAAAAAAAAAAAAAGGCCAAAATAAAAAAAAAAAGCAGAACACAGAATTTGATAGTGCCAGCAAATAGGAGGATCAGAAGAGGAGAAGGAGAGCAGGATCAGTCCTTATGGTAGCACTTAAGTTGGTTTAAGTTGCACATTAGCTGTGAAATTGCTCTTCTGGTCTGCTTATCAGAACACATTTTCTCTCTCTCACGATTCTTGTTGCTCTTTTCTGAACCTTTTCAATTACATATGTTTTTTTCTTTATATTTTATATATTCTATTATATATATACTTTTCAAAGTTTGACATGAGTTGCAATAGTATTTTAAGCTTTGTCTCACTGCGGTTCTGTAAGATGGCAACTCTCACTTTTGCAACTTTGTTCTCATTCTCTTCTGTTTTTGTACAGAACCACCACATCCCGTTCTGTGGACCATCCGTCACCAAGCCAATTATTTACTATTTAATTAGAGAAAAATTTCAGACAAAAGTGGCTTACAAAAAATTTCAGACAAAAATGGATTTTAATTTACATATTTTAATTACGCAGTGGCATTAAAAAAAGCCACCTTTTGTAAATAAGAAAGCTGAACTAGTATGGTTATCTACTGTAGAATAACTATAAAGCAGAGACATTTTTAGTTGTGGTTGCCTAAAACTTTCACTCAACCCGTATACCATTAATAAACAAACAGAAAAAAAAGAACTTCTGTGGCTAAATGTCTATCGCAGTAGCAATATTGTCAGCAAACTTTCAGATCTCCTTTAAGAAAAGAGACTTTTGTAAAAATCTTTAGTAAAACTGCTCAACATAATCAAAGTATAAAAGATTTTAACTGAAAAAGGTCTGTATAACCTTATTATTTAGCAGATCTATAATACGCATGGATGGGGCTGCACTCTTTGAAGAGTTTTGGCAGCCGCTAGGTCTGTGCAGGCTTTGTGCGAGGAAGGCTAGGAGTAGCTGTGACTGTTTCTTCTGGAGCAGAGCAGGCGGACTGGACTCCCAGGAGGTCTCGGCCGGCTCAGGACTACGCTGCCTTCCCCAGGCAGCCCAGCGCCCGCAGAGCTGTTCTGGCAGTCTCCAATGGCTGGGGGGGAAGGGGCAGGTCAACCACAAAACCCACACCACAGGAGTGCGTGGTGCAGGGCGGGCTGGGGGACCCCACTGGCACCTCTCCAGGGGAGACCGACCGATACCGACTGCTGGAGTACGGCCTCCTTACAACCCGTTTTCAGCAAGGTTGATAATCCACAATCTCCAAGTAATGGACCCTGGGCTTTCCTGACTGCTAGTTTAAGCAGTTTTATGAAGACTTTGCCCAGACACAATAACCTAAAGTGGGGGCTCAAGGTTAAAGAAAAACAAGTCCAGTCTGTCCACATCCTAAGGTCAGACTTAGCTTCCTCCTTCAAAGCCGCACACGGAAAGGTCGCCACCCTGCAGCTAACATCGAGAGGAAAGAGATGAGTGGGGTGAGTGTGGGCAGTACTGAAGCCGACAGGACATTCCCTATCTTCCTAAAGCCGCCTTTCCCCTTCTCAGGTCGAGTTCGGGATCGCCGGCCTTTCCGACTGTCCTTAAAAAACACACTTGCCTCCGAAGTCTGTTCTGCCTTAAGTGACACCTCTCTCCGGCCCCACTGCCCGTTTCACAAAGCGCTTTGGGGAGGGGAGGCGGCACGTGGCCGGGCAGGGGCCAGGTCCCCCTCAGGGCCGCCGCC